GCAGGCCTAAGCCAGCAGGTCGTTATCTCCCGAGGGGTCCCAGACTGTGAGAGGGCACAGGCCGGGCTGAGGGACCCCCCCCTCCCCCGAGTGCACAAATTTTTTGTGCACGGGCCCCTAGTATGTATATAATTTAATATATATTAGAAAATAAACATAAATATTGAAGGAAGTGAAAGGTGTTAAAGACCCTTGTATTAAAGGATGGTGTGGTATTGGTGCAAGAATGGACAAAAAGACCAGTAGAAAGTACCAGTAGACTCTGATTATTCAAAGATTTCAACTTTTAATGTGCCTGCTAAAATAATTTTTTAAAACCATCTGTAATAATCAAATTAATGGAAGAATTTATGGAAAGATTTTTAGCGAACTGAAAGATAGATTGAAAGGAAGTCTAGAAAGAAAAGAAAAACAATAAGGATATAGAATATGTGAACAACATGATTAAGAAATTGGCTTAATAGACATATTTCAGAACACTACCCAACTACAGAATCCTTTCTTTTCAACTACACATGAAACGTTTTAAAACATAGTCATGAAACAAGTTTCAACAAATTCAAAGGATTGCAGTCTTGCAGAGTATGTTCTCTGACTTAAGTGGGTTGTCTAATAATAAAAATATAACTAGGAATTCTTATAAGATATTTAAAAATACACTGCTAATATTTAGGAGGTCAAAGAAGAATCATGATGGAAATTAGGAAATTTTCTGTAATGAAATTGAAAAGACTATCTCAAATCTTATGTGATGTAGGTAAAGCCATACTTAGAAGGAATTTTTTTTGCTTTAAATGCATATATTAGAAAAGGAAAAAGTAAGAGCAGTGAGCTTAGTATTCATTTTAGAAATTTAGGGGGAAGAAAACCAATGAAGCCAAATAACATAGAAAGAAGGAAACAAAGAGCTGAAATTGGTAAGATAGAAAATACATAATGAATACAAGCATATAAGTCATCAAAGTTGAGACTGAAGTAAATTAATAAAACTTGTAAATCCCTCATAAGTTAATCGGGAAAAAAAAGAGAGAGAAGACACATAATGAAAATCAAGAATGTAAAAAGAGATCTTACTACTGATCTTACAGAAATTATTAAGAGGATGTTATGAACAAGTTGATGCCAATACATTTTAAAATATGGATGACACAAGAAGAAATAGAAAAACTGAGTAATCTTAAATTTTTCCAGAGAATAAGAAAAGCAGATATACTCACCAATTTATTTTATGAGACTACTGTAATCTTTATACCAAATAGATAATACAAGAATGAAAATTAAAGCTAGTTTCACCATGAACATAGATCCAAATTTCCCCTTAAAATTTTTGTAAATGAAGCCCAGTAATATATTTAAAATTTATCCTCAAAGCAAATGGGACTTATTCTGAAAATGCAAAACAGTTTAATAGTGAAAATGTAATCGATATATTTTATTACATTAAAAATTAAAGGGGAGAAATTATATGATCTTCTTAGATTAAGAAAAGCATTTGATACAATTAACTGTGCATTCATGATTTTTAAAAACTTTGCAAATCAGCATTAGAAGAGAATGAAAAGGATATATACCACAAGCCTACAGAAAACAATATAATGATGAAACAAAAAGCATTTCCTTTCAAATTGGGAATAAAAAGGATCATTCCTATTTCTAGTCATTATTGTAGGAACTGTCCAGTACAGTAGAATAAGAAAGAAAATATATAGGAGATATAAATAAAACAGTATTTATAGATTATATGGTTTATGTCAGAAATCCAAAAGAATTCATAGATCAATTTTTAAAAATTAATCAAAATTAGATTGCTAGCCAAAACAAACGAAAAAATCAAAACATGGTATTATTGTGTACCAGCAAAGAAAATAGAAAATGCATTTTTAAAAATATGTTTTTACCATAGTATAAAATATTAAATGCTTTAAGAATAGACTAGTAAATGTTTAAGATCTCTGGCAGAAAACTATAGGAAATCATCAAGAGAAATTAGAGAAGATCTAAATAAATGGGAAGCTATATCACTTTCATAGATTGGAAACCTCAGTGCTCTAATGATGTTATATCTACCCATCTTGGTCTGTAGACTCAATGAAGTTCTAACCAAAACCCCAAACACCAGGAATAGCCAAGATACTGTGAAAGAGAACAAGGTAGCAGAACTGTTTCACTGCATAAAACTCTAATAATTAAAGGACAGTGTGGTACTGGTGCAAGGATGGGCAAAAAGACCAGTAGAACAGGGTAGCCCAATGACAAATGGATACCTTAATAGATGTTTATTTATTAGGGGTAAAAAGAATTCACTGTAAAACAGTATGGAAAGTACAGTCATTTCAATCAGCAGTGCTGGGAATATGAAAAAAAAATACAACTGGAGAGACACATACCCCCACTTTATACTATATTAAAAAATTATACTATATTAAAAATTAATTTCAGATTATTGACCTATATGTGAAAGTTAAACCAGAAAGTTTATCTTAAAATATAAGGTAGGAGAATATCATCAAAATCTTGGAGTCCGGATAATTTTCTTAGGTCACAAAAAACTCTAACCATAAAGGAAAAAAATTATTAATTTGGACACCGTTCAGAATAAAAAGGAAGACAGTGGGGGAGAGAAAATATTTACAACATATAACCAAGAGAATGTGTACAATATATTAAAACTTCCACAGATCATTAAGAAAAATGTAGAAAACCTAGTGGGGAAAACTTGAGTAAGTAGTTGAGAAAAGATAAAATCCAATGGCTATTAAACACATACAAATATGCTCAACTGGTCATCTCATACACCAATTCTTGGTCAGGGCACATACCTAGATTGCCGGCTCTATCTATTTCTCTCTCCTTTTCCCTCTCCCTCTCTCTAAAATCAATACGCATATCCTCGGGTGAGGATGAATGCTCAACTCCTTAATAATGAGGGAATGCAAAATACAATACTAAATACCCACTAAGATGTCTGATTATACCAAGTGTTGAAGGTTTGTAGCAGTAGGAATTGTCATCAAGTGCTGGTGTGGTGTAAATTGGTACACTTTAGAAAACAGTATCTACTGAGTTGGAATCATGCATTCCCTATGATCCAGAAATATGTGCACTAGGAACCATTACAGGAATGTTCATAGCAGCATCCTATTTAATAAAAGCCTAATATGCAGATCGACAGAATGGCAGAATGACCGGTTGCTATGACACGCACTGACCACCAGGGGGCAGACGCTCAGTGCAAGAGCTGCCCCCTGATGGTCAGTGTGCTCCCACAGTGGGAGTGCAGCTCAGCCAGAAGCCGGGCTCAGCACAGCAGCAGTGGCGGGGAGCCTCTCCCACCTCTCCTGCAGGTTGGTGGTAAGGAGCAAGGGGTTCTGGACTGCGAGAGCCCTGACTACGAGAAGGATGCCTACTGGATTAGGCCCGATCCCCCTGGGCAGGCGGACATCCCCCGAGGAGTCCCGGACTGTGAGAGGGTACAGGCTGGGCTGACAGACACCCCCCCTCTCCCACCCCTGTGCATGCATCTCGTGCACCAGGCCTCTAGTTATTTATAATGATGAACATTGTAAACAACTCATATCCATTAACAGTAGAATACATAAATCATGGTATATTTATATAATAGAAAAATATATAGTTAAGAAACAAAATGAAGATACTTAAAACCAATAATGTAACCTGGCTGGTGTGGCTCCACAGTTGAGTATCGATCTAACCAGGAGGTCACGGTTTGATTCCCAGTCAGGGAACATGCCCGGGTTCTGGGCTTGATCCCCAGTGTGGGGTGTGCAGGAGGCAGCAGATCAATGATTCTCTCTCATCATTCATGTTTTCATCTTTCTCTCCCTCTCCCTTCCTCTCTGAAATCAATAAAAATATATTTTAAAAAATAAAACAAATCTTATAAACAGATGAAAAGGAAAAAGCCAACACTGGAAAACAAATATTGTAAGATTTTATGAATGTAAAATTCAAAACAAGCTAAGATTATTGTAGTTTTTTTGCTTTGTTTTGTTTTTTAATATATTTTTTAAATTTTTTACAGAGAGGAAGGGAGAGGGATAGAGAGTTAGAAACATTGATGAGAGAGAAACATCGATCAGCTGCCTCCTGCACACCCCCAACTGGGGATGTGCCCGCAACCAAGGTACATGCCCTTGACCGGAATCGAACCTGGGACCCTTCAGTCTGCAGACTGACGCTCCATCCACCAAGCCAAACCGGTCAGGGCTAGTGTAGTTTTTAGAAGTGATTATTTGGTGAAACAATAAAGAAAAGTATGGTTGTGATTGCCATAAAAGTCAGGGAAGTAATTTGAGAGAGATGGATGGAGGGGAGATATTAGTGACGGGAATGCCCAGTGTGACTTCCTGGATTGTTGGCAATTAATTTTTTTTCAAACTTTTTTTCCTTTATTGATTTTTAGAGAGAGACAAAGGGAGAGCGATAGCATCTATGAGAGAGAAACTTCATCAATCGACTGTCTCCTGCATGCCCTCTATTGGGGATGGGGCCCACAACCTGGGCATGTGCTCTGACCAGGAATTGAACCCATGACCTCTTGGTTCCTGGGTTGCTCAACCACTGAGCCAAACCAGTTGGACTGAATTTCTTGGTTTAGATTGTAGTTACATGGTTATTGGTTATTTAAATGCATTTTTTTTCACTTCTCTGCATTTGTGGGATTTTTTTTAACCATTTAGAAAAGATTTTTAAATACGTGTGTGTGTGTGTGTGTGTGTGTGTGTGTGTGTGTTGCATACATATATGCATGGGTACATAAATGCATATATATGCAAAGGGTGGTGATAAAGGTAGATGTTCTTGGACAGAATGACATTGATAGGTGTGTGATGGGCTATCTGCTGTAGCAAATGTCTTGCTAATCCTCCTTAATAAGGCTATTTAAATCTCCCAGGTGTATATGTGTGAGTGTGTGTCTGTGTGACAGAGTGATTACAGTCAAACTCTGAGAGGAGAGATCTGTAAACTTTAGTCATGACAAATTTTTAATTTTCTAAATGCCTTAGCTCTTATTCTCTAGGGAGAAATTTGTTTTTCATCTCATTTGTTAGTTTGGCCAAATGAAATTTTTATTATGACCTTCAGTCAGTTTTTATGCCAGAGAATTACCTGTAACCTGCCTTGCAATGTTTCACCATAACAATGTTTTTATTATTTGTTTCTCCTCTACCACCTTCACTTCTCTTTTATAACTGTGCAGTAGATTGAATGATACCTTTGAAAACTTATTTCTGGACTATCCTTAGCATATCATCTTTGGTTTTCCTTATATGCAAAGGAAAGTGATTCCAACATTTCAATTGGGATTTTTGTATGATTCAAGAGTTGTTTTTTGAGTGTTTTTAAGGCTTTTTCATCATGGCTTTCAATTCTAGTCACTGCACATTTCTAGCCCTAGCATTCTGTAACCAAGGAAACGCCCTACTTTCAGCATGGCACAGTGCAAATGTACCTTTTAAAAAAATATTCCAGGTTGAATATTCTGTGTATTTAGAAATAATATAAAGATCAGTTGTCCTGTTAGTTTAAAAAACAACAAAACAAAATCCTCAAGTTTTACACATTAAAATTGCTTGAAAGAAAAAGTCTTAGGTATAAAAATAAGTATTTTTTCTCCCAAATAACAACCATTGTTGTAGAACCTATACTTAAAATCCAACTGAGAAATAAAACTTGTGTAAGTTTAAAATTTCTGTGTAGCAAATGTATTTCTAAGTAGTATTAGATATACCCAAAGCATTTAGGTAGGCCAGTTTAGGTTAAAATACAAAGATGAATGAGGTGTATATAATATCTACTCTAATGGAAAAGGCAGATATGAATGTGAATATAAAATCTTCAGTGATGTAAATTTTGTAATGAAAAAGTATTTGTTGTTAGGGAAGTACAAACAAAATTGATTTGATGTGGGAGTAGAATTTGCTATGAAGATAATTTTTAAAAATACAACTGGAATGTAAATTCTCTAATATTCCTTATTTTGTTGGTTATCCATCAGAAAGCTTGAAAGTTATTGTTTTCTTTAACCTGTCGTTATGGAAATTTTAAAACCTATTCAGATATACAGAGAACATAGTATAATGAACTACCATATATATCCATCACCCTAGAAAGTTTCAAATTAATAAAACCTGAAGCTTTAAAAAACAAAAAAACAAAAACATTTAAAATTCAGAAAGGTATAGATCTTTTAACTGCCCTGGAAAGATAACATTTATACAAATATGAATCCAAATATACTTGTGATATAGCTTAAAATTTACTAATAGCTCTTTACTTTTAAATAATTTATATTTAAACTTCATTAATGGATCCATTTTAACTTTATGTAACAGGTATGTGTGTTTTAATTTAAACAGTGTGGGATATCTTATTTATTGACTTTTAAACATGAGCATAATATCTAGAATAACAGTGGCATGATAGTACTTACCTTCAGAGCTGAGAATTTGTTTAGGAGCTTCCAGACATTGTGAAAGGTAACAATTTCAATTAGAAAAATGAAATAAAGCTTCTCTGTGTTTAGGCTGCACTGTCAGACACTTCCTTTTGAAACTCAAATCTTCTAGCAGCGGTTCTCAACCTGTGGGTCGCGAACAGTGAAAATACATCCTACATATCAGATATTTACATTACGATTCATAACAGTAGCAAAATTACAGTTATGAAGTAGCAACGAAAATAATTTTATGGTTGGGCGTCACCACAACATAAGGAACTGTATTAAAGGGTCGCGGTATTAGGAAGGTTGAGAACCACTGTTAGGGTGTGTTATCTAAATTACCCATTTTCTTGGTTTCTTGTAATTCTTCATAATGGATTGCTTATCCCAGAATTCCTATTTTCATCTCAGGTTTTGGTTATTTTGTTCACATTATTCTTTAGATGCTATTAAACTACAGCTGGTTGAAGCAGGCTTGGTAGAATGTCTACTAGAGATTGTTCAGCAGAAAGTGGATAGTGACAAAGAGGATGATGTTGCTGAGCTCAAAACTGCTTCAGATCTAATGGTTTTATTACTTCTTGGAGGTGAGTTGGAATTTATACCAATCAAAGAACATGGTTGCCAGATTCTTAAAAATTTATTGTCTCTTTTGTAAATGCTATATAAAGCATTTTTTCATTTTCCTATCTCATTAAATCCTGTTGATGTGATGATTTTGAAATCTTAAACATACGGAGAGGACTAGAGATAATAAGCCTGGAAAAGAGGAGGCTTCACTGTTTATGTATGTATGTATGTATTGATTTATTTTTAATATATTTTCATTGATTTCAGAGGGAGAGGGAGAGAGAGAGAGAGAGAAACATCAATGATGAGAGGGAATCATTGATCTGCTCCCTCCTGCACGTCCCACACTGGGGATCGAGCCTGCAACCCGGGCATGTGTCCTGACCAGGAATTGAACCATGACCTCCTGGTTCATAGGTCAACACTCAACCACTGAGCCTTGCCAGCTGGGCTTCACTATCTTTCACTATTTAAAGAGCTGTCATATAGAAGAGACAGCTGTAGCACCAAAGTACTAAAAGCCAGATAGTTACTTGGGACTTATACTAGAAGAACTCTAAAGTTTCTTGTCCAGTCTCTACTAAAATGATTCTTATGGTAAAAAGAATCATTACTTTTCCCCTTATTAATTCTATCATTTTTGAAGTATGTAGTTTCCCCATTGGCTATTTACTTAGAAATATGGATTTGTTGCTCATATTTATTTTCCTCTTATCTGTTTGTTTCATTTACCTCCAGATGAATCCATGCAGAAATTATTTGAAGGAGGAAAAGGTAATGTGTTTCAAAGGGTGTTGTCCTGGATTCCATCAAATAACCACCAGCTGCAGCTTGCTGGAGCGTTGGCGATTGCAAATTTTGCCAGAAATGGTAAGCATATTGCTGCATTTTAAAAAAATTTTCTTTGACATTTCATGTACTAAAACCAAACAGTTTAGAATTACACGTAGTATGTATGTGTACCGCTACCTTAATTTTTCAGAGATATGAAATATTTATAGTGACTTTCTAACAAATTATATATTTTATGGAATTAAACTAAGTTCTAGTAGTTTAAAGATCTTGAACAGCCCTGCCAGCGTGGTTCAGTTGGTTGGGCATCATCCTATGCACAAAAATGTTGCCGGTTCATTTCCCCGTCAGGGCACATGCCAGGGTTGCAGGCTCCATCCCTGGTAGGGGGTATGCAGGAGGCAGATGATATATGTTCCGCTCTCACTTCCATGTTCCTCTCTCCCCCTTTCCCTTCCTCTCTCTAAAAATCAATTTTTAAAAGTTTTGTGTGTTTTTTTTAAGAAAGAAAGATCATGAATATTGATCATGAAGTCCTTTAGAATACTCTGCACTTCAGAGATTGATAAACTTGAGTCCCATTCTAATTCACATCTGATTTAGAAGGATAGTCTCTCTTGCCTGGTGACTTTATTTTGGATTTAATAATCTAAATTTTCATTATAGGGTTATTGTACCTCAATTTATACTTTTATATCTATAAAACTTGTGTGGCTAATTCTCTGGTTTAGGGTAGAATAATTTAGCTTAATATTTCAGAGGCACCAGACTTGCATATTTATTTTTGAAGTCTGGTCTAGGAATATGAGTTACTTTTGTGTTTAGTTTGATTTTATTGCAGAATGAACTGTTGTTATATTATAGTGGATGACTTACTCCATTTTCATTTCCTTCTTTTGGGGAACCATCATTACCTCCTTAATGATGGCAATAAGACTGGCAAAAGATTAATAATTGTTGAAGCTAAATATGGGGTATAAATAGTGGTTTATTTTAATATTCTTTCTGTTTTATAAATGTTTCAAAAATTCTATCAATGAAAAATAATTTAAGTAACAGCAATGATAACAAAATATAGAATACTGTCTCAGTCACATTGGCAAAACTCAGGCATGCTTCACTATTGGTGGACATTTTAAGCATGTGGTTTCTACTTATCTTCTGATATGTTTAAGCTAGAGAGTTTTCTTATTTTAAAAATTCTATTTTAAGAATCTTTTAATCGGACTTCTCAGTTAAAAAAAATTATAAATCTGAGGGAGAGTTAGATTTTCCTGTGGTTCCATTTTCACTAATGTAGATAATGAGTAGGCATCGGCATTACAAAATATTTATAGATGTTTGTGCAGAGGAAGAAAAAAATGCTTTATTTTTCTTCAGATGGAAATTGTATCCATATGGTAGACAATGGAATTGTAGAGAAACTTATGGATTTACTGGACAGACATGTAGAAGATGGAAATGTAACAGTACAGCATGCAGCACTAAGTGCCCTCAGAAACCTGGCCATTCCAGGTAAGACTGAAGGATGGAAGGCAACGATGTAAGAAATAAAATCTATTGTTTTGGTAAGACTTTTACTTTATGTGATTTGTAGATCTGCCCTGACCAAGGAAAAAAATCTTCAAATTGTTTACATTTTTTTTACTGATACATGAAGATAAATTAGTTTTCTGAGACTGTACAAGCATAACTTTGCCTTTGTTTAGATCATTCAAATAATTCTATTACCTTCTGTGAACTCCTAAGATTTTCATTATATTGTATAGTTACACTTTTTAAAGCATCTTCAGTTTAGGTAAGATAATGGCATCAATTAACAGAGTCCCCTAAAAAATGACTTTAAAAGTTTGTATTTTCCCGCAAGCATACAATTTTTTAAAACTAGCCCTAATGTGCCCTAACCGATTAGGCTCAGGGGATAGAGCGTCAGCCTGCGGACTAAAGGGTCCCAGGTTCGATTCTGGTCAAGGGCATGTACCTTGGTTTCGGGCACATCCCAGTGGGGGGCGTGCAGGAGGCAGCTGATTGATGTTTCTCTCTCATCGATGTTTCTGACTCTCTATCCCTATCCCTTCCTCTCTGAAAAAAAATCAATAAAACATATTTTAAAAAAATAGCCCTAATATGTCCTTTTGGATTAAAGACTTAAGCCATGGAATCACATTATCATTGGAAATAATACAGGAGATGATTTAAAATGTTCTTTTATTTTAGTTTCTAAAAATAAATTTCTAGTTAGGTAAAATAATATAACTATGAAGATATAATCTATATGAAATTAGTTTGTTTCATATAGCAGATGATGTTTATTAATGACTATGACATCTATATTAACACAGCTGGTCAAGAACAGAGGTAAAAAGAAACAAAGTTGAGGAATTGTGCTTTTTATAAATAGAAGGCAACATTATCAGGTTTCCATTACAAACTATTTAGGTAATTGTTTTGAGGTTAGGTTTGATTTTGTATATTATGCTCCTATAGACAAACAGGATACAAGATTTTTTTTTAAATAGAAAAAATATAAAACATAGGGCCTTAGAGATAATAAGACCCTCAATAAATATTTATTGAATTGAATGATTATCATCAAGAATGCTAACATCACTTTAATCATGGTCTTTTTTTTTTTTTTCCTCTCTCTCTCCAGTTGTAAATAAAGCAAAGATGTTATCAGCTGGGGTCACAGAGGCAGTTTTGAAATTCCTTAAATCCGAAATGCCCCCGGTTCAGTTCAAACTTCTGGGGACATTAAGAATGTTAATAGATGCACAAGGTAAAAGAAATGCTTTCCCAAGATGTATTTTTGCTATCATAATCTCAATGTGCCTCTAGTTGAAAAAGGACTTGTTTTCAGCTTTCAGAATTATGTAATCATAAAGATAAATAGCAAATGAAGACAAAAAGAGATTGGTTTTAGAACCCATGCATTAATTCTCATGCTTGTCATAATTGGCTTTAAGTGGAAACTATATGGCTTCTATTAGTACATGTGATCCTAATTTTAGGTTGATTTATTAGCAGTTCCTAAGAGTTTTTGTTTTTAGCATTCCATACCCATTTTTACCTCGTCTTCAAAATCATCATGTTTCAGTATAATAACAAATTCTTTAAAAGTTTGCTTTGCAAACAGGGAGATCATTTTTCTGTGTACCGAAACAGCAATGAAAACTTGGAATTAATTATGTTTATTTACTTATAAATTTTTTCTCTATATTGATTCCTTAGAGTCCTTCTAAAAATGCTTTATTATTGTTTGACAGAGTACTAACAGACTACCAGGCTGACCTGGAAGCATATGAAGTTACTTATTTTTATATTTTGTACTGAAGTCCACAACTTTATAGGAAAGGCCAAATAGTCCTTCAGATATGGAGTACTGTATTTGCAGTTCCTGCTTTAATAAAATTGTGTTGTTTTTTAAGCATGTAATTTTCTTGCACACTCTTTATTTCAGTTGATTGCCTACCAGTGATTCATTCCTTTGTGATTTGCCTTCTTTCCTATAGCAGAAGCTGCTGAACAACTAGGAAAGAATATTAAGTTAGTGGAGCGTTTGGTGGAATGGTGTGAAGCCAAAGACCACGCTGGTGTGATGGGAGAGTCAAACAGACTGCTCTCTGCCCTCATACGACACAGTAAATCAAAAGTAAGTTCCAGAAGAAACCATTCACTAAGAACATTTGAGTGGCCTTTTTGTAAAACTGGTATTGTAGATCCTACATCATAAGCTTGCATTTTTTATGTATTTATGTATAAATACATTAATCAAGAGTTCTGAAAAAATAATTGAAGATTGAGCTTTTTTATTTGGTTATATTCATAATAGTTAAGAGTAAGGCTTTGGAGTTAAACAGAAATGAGTTCATAATTTATCTGCTATATTTACTTGATCAAGTGTCTTCACATCTATGTAAAAACTGGGCTGTTACCTACCTGAAGGTGTTGTGAGGATGATTCAGTGAGATCACGTATAGAATGCTCAGTTGGTACCTGGGACACAGCAGGCACTCAGTAAATGGAGGTTGCTGCTGTTACTATTTTTACCACCACCACTACCACTATTACCAGCATCAGTGTCAAACATCTGTGTGCTAGGCACTGACCGGGGTAGCTACTGATATTTAGAAATTAAATGATGTCTGGATAGTATTTGATGCCCAGAACCACAGAGTTGTATAAAATCCATTCTCATGGCAGTGTCCAGCTTATCAGGTGTTTGGCTCATGGTTGATAACCTATAAGTATTTGTTGAGTGAATCATTAAATTAACAAGTAAATATTTTAAAGAACACAATGGTGAAAACCTGGGCCAGCATTCAGCAGCTGATTTAATGTCTAGATTATATATCTTTTCTTTTTTATAACCTCTTTTCTAAGGTAAGCCTTTTGACTATTTCACCTGTGTACATCTGCAGAGAGACCAACTCTGTCACAGAAGGGGTGATGTTTTAGAGGTTAACTTGGAGTCACTCAGGAGGAGAAGGGGAAGATTGACTGTGATGAGTTCAATATATAAACTTCTATGTAGACTAGACATAATATTAAGAATAAATGTTAATATTATTTAAGACATAATATTAAGAATACAAATATTAAGAATAAAACCACAAATATTAAGAATACTACCTGGATTTGAATCTTGGCTTGTTAACTACTTAATCACGGACTTTTGGGAAAATTTCATAGCTTAATCTGAGCTTCATGTTTTTCATCTATAAACTAAAAGTAATATCTACCTAATGAGATTTTCTGTGAGGATAAAAATGAGCTAAGTACCATAAGCTACCTGATATATCAATTTTATAGTTGTTGCTCTATGAAGGATAGCTATCAATATTATTAATTTTCTTTTGTCATATTACATTTAAGTACAATGCTTAACTTATTTTTTATCTACCATTCTGTCAGACAAAGCAACTCTATCCAGTAGCTATTCAATAGCAATTATTGTAGTAGGAGAGAGGGCAGGCATTTTAAAAGAAAATAGATATCTGTTCCAGAAAAGTTAGGTGGAAAAGAAGCCATGCTTAGACCTAGAAAAGGCTATTTGTTTCTGATATACAAATTTCCTTCATTCATTCTCTATCCTTCTACTATAGTGGACTTTTCAGGATGAATCACAAAATAGAGGATGAAATGACAATCCAGGAATCTTTCCTACGCGATTGCATTTGTATGCACACATCTCTGTAGTCTTCTTTATTCAGTAAACTCCTTTGTGATTTTTATAAAAATCTTTACTGATTTTAAGATTTCTGATCCTGACTAGTGTGGCTCACTTGGTTGGGCATCGTCCCATGCACCCAAAGGTTGCTGTTTTGGTTCCGGTCAGGGCACATGCCCAGGTTGTGGACTCAGTCCCTGATAGGGAGTGTGCAGGAGCAACCTATTGATGTTTCCCTCTCACATTATGTTTATATATCTCTATCTCTCTCTCTCCCTCTCCTTCCTCTCTTTCTCTAAAAATCAGTTTTAAAATCTGAAAGAAAAAAAAAAGATTTCTATATCAGTTTCAAATAAACTGCCACCAAGTAAGCATTATATTGGGAGGCTTTCTTTTAATTAGAAAAGGCTTTAAAAGATGAGTTCCTCACTTTCTAAAAGAGGTTGATGGGAAAAGACCTGTATTAGATGCAAGAACCATAAAAACTCAGTACTTGCACTCTATTGATTTAGAATGTTTAATTTCCAAACAAGTTAATCTCAAAGCAAACATCCCGTCTATATAGTTTTTTAAAAAATTTACATAGATGGAAGCATAATGGAAACCCTTTTTAAAATATTTCAGCAAATTAATTTGAAAAATATTCCTAATTACCGTTAGTTTTGTGCCATTGATGCTAGCTCGGACAGGCTGCTTACTTCAAATTACTAAAAGTGAAAAATAGCAAAGAAAATTACTTTAAAATATCATATAATTAAGACTTTCCACTAAATTATATTTAATCCAAGATTTTTTAGGCAATAAAATTCTGAGATGGAAACAGAAATGGCTACTAGAAATAAATGTGACCATTTTTCATCTAATTTTTGTTATACATTCTATATGTGTTTTTCATGTAATAACTGTAATTATTACAGAAACCTGAGAGATACACACTTACATGATCTCAACACTATAGATAAAGTCACTGAGGTGCCAAGAGGGTCGGTTATTTGCTCAAAGTCAGTGTTGGTGGTAGGATTTATTGAACCCCTTTGTATGTAATTCAGTTTTGTCAGATCCAACAAAGGATAAAAGCTACTCCCAATACATGCTTTACCTGAAGCATCTGGCGAACAATACCAGTTGCTATAATAAAATTTTGAAGGGAAAAAAACATTTTTGTTATTACAAGGTTTATTCTCTTTTGTTGATCCTATGGTAAGTCAACATTTGGGTCAATGGCACTTGTATTTGACTTTGGTAGCTTCTGGGACTCTATTTCTTGATATGAACTGCAATGATCTTTTTCACTTAGGTAGTTTAAGATGTCATCTATTGATGAGTTTATTTAAAGCTAAAAGCTTTTTTCTTCATAGAAGAAAATATTATTAAATGTAATGATTCATACAGGACACTCAACTTACAATGAATTGACTGATTATAATGCAGCTTCTTTATATTGAAAATTAAAGTTTATAACTCTGTGATATTTATTTATTATAGGATGTAATTAAAACCATTGTACAGAGTGGTGGCATCAAGCATCTAGTTACCATGGCAACTAGTGAACATGTAATAATGCAGAATGAAGCCCTTGTTGCTTTGGCACTAATAGCAGCTTTAGAATTGGGTAAGTACCCTAGTGACAAACTTATTTTCTCCTATTTTTATCTTGGATGAAAGGAAGCACAGGAGTGGAATAGAAGTCAGACAGAACCTTAACTAGAAGCATTTTGCCAGTGTGTGTCTATATGTATATCTGAGTATATTGAAAATCATATTCTACAGATTGTCACCACTGCTGTCCCTTTTGGTTGTGCTTTTTGGCAACACTTTGCTTTAAGGTTAGTTTGATTCTTAAGTGTTATCTCAAGTAATAAGCAATTGGGGAACATAGAACTCATTTTTAACAGGCCTCAGAGAAATGAAACCATTTTTATAATGCAACAAGTTTAGGGTTTGCTACTTTTACAGCGACCCAGACCTCTTCTTCCATCTCTACTGCTAAGTTTTCTGTTGCTAATCTTCTATCAATGCTTTGTGGGGGTGGGGAACCTTTTTTATGCCAAGGGCCATTTGCATATTTATAACATTATTTGGGGTTCTGTCTTGACTTCTGTTCCACTCCTGTGTGTTAAGTTTTATACAGGTGTTTTTTGTTGGTTTTTTTTTTTTTTTGCATGTGTAGGTCTGTATATCTACCACCACAGTCAAGATAATAGTTCTAAGACCGAAAGGATCCCTTCATTTATAACTACACTCACCTGCCTCCTACCCTTACCTCCCATGCTGCTCCTAACCCCTGGAAACCACTAATCTGCCCTTCATTTCTAAATGTTTTCATTTTTAAAATGTTATGTAAGTAGAATCATATAGTATGTGACCTTTTGGAATTAGCTTCTTTTGCTCAGCAAAATTTCTTAAAGAGTCATCAGATTTGTCTTGTGTCTCAGTTTTTTATTGCAAAGTAGTATTCCACAGTTTGTTTAGCCGTTCACCTGTTAAAGGACATGTGGGCTGATTCCAGTTTGAGGCTTCAAAAAATAAACTTACTATGAACATTCACATATAGGTTTTAATGTGAACATAAATTTTCATTTCTCTAAATAAAATGCCCAGGACTGCAATTGCTGGGTTCTATGGTAACTACATGTTTAATTTTTAAAGAAACTGTCAAATTGTCTTTCAGAGTGGCTATAGCATTTTATACTCACACTGCCACTGTATAAGTCAGTGGTTCTCAACCTTCCTAATGCCGCGACCCTTTTTTTTAAAAATTATTATTTTTTAATATATTTCTTTATTGATTTCAGAGAGGAAGGGAGAGGGAGAGAGAGAGAGAAATATCAATGATGAGAGAGAATCATTGATCGGCTGCCTCCTGCACACCCCCTACTGGGGATCGAGCCCGCAACCCAGGCATGTGCCCTTGGCCGGAATCGAACCTGAGACCCTTCAGTCCACAGGCTGACGCTCTATCCACTGAGCCAAGCCGGCTGGCTAGGGCTACTGCGACCCTTTAATAGAGTTCCTCATGTTGTGGTGACCCCCAATTTCATTGTTACAAATTGAACATAATTAAAGCATAGTGATTAATCACAAAAACAATATGTAATTATATATGTGTTTTCCGATTGGTCTTAGGCGACCCCTGTGAAAGGGTCGTTCGACCCTCACAGGGGTCGCGACCCACAGGTTGAGAACCGCTGGTGTATGTGATTAATTTTCTCTGCATTCTCATCAGCATTTGGTGTTGTCACTACTTTTTTATTTTAGCCATTCTGATAGCTTTAAGAGATATCACATTGTGGTTTTAATTTACATTTTTTTAAATGTAATGATGCTTGTACATCTTTCCATGTCCTTATTTTCAATCATATATTCTTTGGTAAAATGCCTATTTGTCTTTTGCTTATTTTCTAATGTTTTGAGAATTCTTCATATATTCTAAAAGTTTACATTTTACACTTAAGTTTGTGATCCCCTTTGAGTTAATATACGTATAAAGTATGGTTTAGGTTAGGGTTCCTTTCTTTGTAGCTGTCTAATTTGCAGCAACATTTGTTGAAAAGGTTCCCTTTACTCCATTGAAATGATTTGAACATTTGTCAAAGATTAGTTGAGCATATTTGTGTGGGTCTACTTCTGGAGTCCTATATTCAGTTCCTATGATCTATGTATCTATCAATAAATACCTCACTATCTTGATAACTATATAGTGAGCCTTAATATCAGGTAGAAGAATTTCTCCCACTTCATTATTTTTAATCAAGATTGTTTGCCTCTTCTAGGACCTGTGGCTCTTCATATAAATTTTAGTATAAGCTCATCTATTTTTGTAGAAAATCCTGCTGGGATTTTAATAGGAATGAACATTCTTTATCTCTTAAAGATAGAGACATCCTAAAGTACATATGGAGGAAATTATGTAATTTATAAGATTTGCTTCAAAATAATTTGAGATGTTTGAGAGTAGGTAGATGAAACTAGAGATAGATGAAACAAGATTGACCATGATAATTTATGAAGATGATAGTGCATATGGTATCATTATACCATCTTTTCTGCTTTTGTATATGTTTAACAAAAGGTTTTTAATTGCTTCATTTAAAAGGAATGTTTTAATTCTAAATATTAGTTTAAACTTAAAATATTTGCTGAAATTTGGCTCTCTCTACTTTTTTTTTATAAGGACTAAATTTAGTATCATATGTCTAGGTCATTATTATTTGTCAGTCCCTTTTGGAAAGTTTCACATGATCAGTTTCTAGAAAAGGAAGCAATGTTTACCCAGATTGTACTGGGTTCATAAACAGTGGGTATAACTGCTACTTTAATCATTTCCTGTTCTAGACACTGCTGAGAAAGATCTAGAAAGTGCTAAACTTGTACAGATTTTACACAAACTGCTAGCAGATGAGAGAAGTGCTCCTGAAATAAAATATAATTCCATGGTTCTGATCTGTGCTCTCATGGGATCCGGTAAGTATATGTCTTCTATCATTTGATTTCTGTGCATCAACATATGTTTGACATTATTAAATATAAAATAATAGTAAATGGTGGCTTTGGGTTTAAAAAAACATTAGAAATTAGTTTATGGAGGTTATAGCATTACCTTTACATTGAAAATATTCCCAAAAGGTTCTTACTATAATAAAAAACACTATGTAGCAAATATAGGCTAAATCAATATTAAAAATCAATACCTGTAAGTTTTATCAACTTTAAAATATTATTTTATATAAAGAACAAGTTCTGATTTTTATGCCATGATATTAACTAAGAAATTTGTTAAGAAATCATTGGCATGTCTTGTGATATATATTCCATGGACAATTGAAAAGAATGTGTCTTCTGCTGTTATTGGGTGAAGTGTTCTTTAAATGTCGATTAGATCTTTTGGTTGGTAGTGGTATTGAGTTTCTCTATTCTTGCTGATTTTCTGACTAATCATTGTTGAGAGGTGGTGAAGTCTTCAACTATAATAATGAATTTATCCATTTCTCTTATCAGTTCTATCAGTTTTCACTTCACATGTTTTGTAGCTCTGTTGCTAGGTATATTCAACTTTTAGGATTGCTATGCCTTCCTGATGGATTGATCTTTCTACCATTATATAATGTTTCTCTCTGTCTCTGGTGATTTTCTTTACTTGAAGTCTACTTTATCTAATCTATAATAATAAAAGCATAATATGCTAATTAGACCGATGTCCTTCCAGACGACCTTCCTGATGAAGCCAGGGCTGCGAGGGAAGCCCGGGTCCCGGGTGCCAGAGGGAAGCTGTTGCCAGTAGCTGGGGGAAGGAAGGCCTACTCTTGCATGAATTTCATGCATCAGGCCTCTAGTATTAAAATAACTACTCCTATCTTCTTCTTCTTTTTTTTTACTCCTATCTTCTTTTGAATAACAAACATTCATTTAGTTTCAGTCTGCTATATCATTATATTTGAAGTTTAAGACGGCATATTGTTGGATTGTATATTTTCTGTTTTGTTGGTATATAGTATTATATTAGTTACATTAGTTTCAGGTGTGTAATATAGTGATTTGACATTTTTATACCTTACAATGTGATTGTCTGTTACCATGGAAAATTATCCATGATTATATTCCCCTTCATCTTTTTTACACACCCTCCCTCCTGGCTAACCATCCTTTTGATCTCTGTTCCTATAAGTCTATTTTTGTTTTGTTTTTAGATTCAACATATAAGTAAAATCATACATTATTTATCTTTCTCTGTCTGATTTATTTCTTTTTTCATTTAGCATAGTAACCTCTAGGTCCATCCATAGTGTCACATAATATTTCATTGTATATAAATACATCTTTATCCATTATCTATCAGTAAACACCTAAATTGCTTCCATGTTTTGTCTATTGTAAATAATGCTGCAGTGAACATAGGGGTACATTTTTTACATCATTTCTAATTTTTCAATTATAGTTGACATACAGTAGTTTATTAGTTTCAGGTGTACACCCCAGTGATAAGACATTCTATAACAGGGGTGGGCAAACTTTTTGACTTGAGGGCCACAATGGGTTCTTAAACTGGACCGGAGGGCCGGAACAAAAGCATGGATGGAGTGTTTGTGTGAACTAATATAAATTCCAAGTAAACATCATTACATAAAAGGGTACGGTCTTTTTTTTTTTTTTTTAGTTTTATTCATTTCAAACGGGCCAGATCCGGCCCGAGGGCCGTAGTTTGCCCATGGCTGTTCTATAACATACTAAGTGGTCATCCCGATAAATCTCATACCCATTTACACCGTATATAGTTATTAGGATATTATCAACTATATTCCCTATATTGTACTTTACATCCCCAAGACTATTCTTTTACTACCAATTTGTTCTTAATCCCTTCAACTTTTTCATCCAACTCCCCTCCCATCTGACAATCATCAAAATGTTCTCTGTATCCATGTTCATTGATTTAGTACTTTAGATTCAATTGTTGATAGATATGTATTCATTGCCATTTTACTCATCTTTTATCTTATTTTTTTCTTTTTCTTCTTAAAAAAGACCCTTTAACATTTCATGTGATACCAGTTTGGTGTTGAGCTCCTTTAGCTTTTTCTTGTCTGGGGAGCTTGTTATCTGTTGATTCTAAATGTAGATGCAAGCCACAGACCTTCCCACATGCCACATGCGTCTGTAAAAAAAAAAGTTTTCCCTAAGTGGCAGCCCTGACCAACTTTAAAATATTTTTTCATGAAAATTTTCAGCTGAAAATATTCAAGAACACCCAAATTCTGAGTAATTATTTTTATAATATTCATTGCAAATTGATTTTTAAAATTTAAATTGAAAATATCGTGGTGTGTGGGGATGGTTTCCGTTTTGGACGCGTGGCAGTTAACTGGTTAAAGTAGGTTTTCAATTTGCTTTCTCTCTTCTCCTTCTGGCACCCCCATGATGTGAATGTTGTCCCAGAGGCTCCTTACACTCTTCTCTTATTTTTGTATTCTTTTTTGCTGTTCTGATTGGGTGTTTTTTCTTCCTTATATTCCAAATTGCTGTTTTGATTCTCGACTTCATCTACATTACTGTTGATTCCCTATAAATTATTCTTCCTTTCAGGTAGTGTATCCTTTATTTCTGACTGGTTCTTTTTTATGGTGTTGAAGTTTTAACTTCATCCACTCTTCCCCTAAGTTTGTTGAGCATCCTTATAACCAGTGTTTTGAACTCTGCATCTAGTAGATTGCTTGTCTCCATTTTGTTTAGTTCTTTTTCTGGAGTTTTGTTCTTTTCTTTCATTTGGGACATGTTTCTTTGTCTCCTCATTTAGACAGTCTCCCTATATTTATTTCTATATATTAGGTAGAGCTGCTATGTCTCCTGGGATTTGTACATGGCCTGTTATAGTAGGTTTCCTGTAGGGTCCAGTGGCACAGCCTCCCGGTTCATCGGTTCTGGGCACTCCAAATGCGCCCTCCTCTGTGGGCTATGTACACTCTCCTGTTGTAATTGAGCCATGATGCTGTTGGCATGTCAATGGGAGGGACTTACCACCAGACTGATCACCTGCAAGGACTGGCTGCAACCACCATAGAGAATTAGCTGTGCAGGAGCTCACCCCACAGAGCAAGACGTGCATTAGTAGGGCTCTGGTGCCCTCTGAGTGTGTCACTTGTGGAGGTGGTTGGTTGGTGATGCTTCGACATTGTCTGAAGCTGTCCACTGGGTGTGTTGGCTCTGGGGCCTCCCAGTGGGTTCAGGCCAAGGTCAGCCATTGCCTGTGTTCTTCCCGGGGCCACTCAACACGAGGTACAAAGCGATCTGAAGATGATTGCTACTTGTACTGGGCTTACTACACTGCCATCTTGACCAGAAGCCCCATCTGGAGGAAGGGCAGAGCTAGTAAGGTGTTGAGATACAGAGTTACCCTGCCCAGACTCTGTTCTGCCCACTTAAAGCAACAGGGCATGCAGGCAGAGTTGAGGGCATGAGGAGTTTTATTGCCTGGAGAGGGGATGGACTACTGGGGTGTTAAGATGCATGCAAAAAAGCCTACACAGACCCTGTTTTGATCAGATAGTTAAAGGAATAGGGCACATCAAGAGCGACCCAACCAGCCCCGGTTACATCAGGCTGCCCACCTGCAACCCACACACCCCTCCCAGCTACAATCAGTCTGCCAAAACTATCCAACACAGTCTACACAGAGGCCACTCTTTCAAGGCTGAGAGAGACATCAAACTCATAGGAAGAAACAGAAAGTCAAAACAAAATGAGGAGACAGAAGAACATGCCCCAAATGGAGGAACAAAAAAAAACTCTAAAAACCCTAGTGAAATTGAGGTAAGTAATTTGCTTAATGAACAATTCAAAGAAACAGTCATGAGGATGCTCAACAAACTTGAGAGTACAATTAAAAAAACACTCAGAGAGCACTTCAGAAGAGAGAGAAAATGTAATAAAGAACCAATCAGAGATGAAGAATACAAAAACTGAAATGAAGAATACATTAGAAGGAATTGACAGCAGATTAGTTAATAAAGAAGAACAGGTTAGGGACGTGGAAATCACCCATCAGAACAACAAAATGAAAAAAGAATTTTAAAAAATCTATATATAAAAGGCTAATATGCATAGTGTCCCCTCAGGAGTTCGACTAGGAGTTCAATCACTCGCTATGACGTGCGCTGACCACCAGGGGTGGTGTGGAATGAAGGAAGGCTCTGACCGGCAGCCGGAAGGCCCTAATTGCCGGCCAGGGCTAGGGACCCTATTCATGAACGTATTTTATGCACCAGGCCTCTAGTATAGTATAAGAGATTGTTGGGATAACATCAAGCATCCTAACATTCACATTGGAGAGATTCCAGAAGGAGAAAGGAGAGAGAAAGGAGCAGAAACAGTATTTGAAGAAATAATTTCTGAAAACTTTCCTAACCTGGGATAGGAAACAGACATCCAGGAACCACACAGAGTTGCAAACAAGATGAATTAGAGAGACTCAGATCAAGACATTGTAATTAAAACGGCAAAAGTTAAGGATAAAGAGATAATCTTAAAGACAGCAAGAATTAAACAAGTCACATACAAGGGGAACCACATAAGGCTGTCAGCTGATTTCTCAGAAACAACTTTACAGGCTAGAAGGGAGTGGCAGGAGATATTCAAAGTACTAAAAGAAGTACTAAAAGAAAAGAATCTATGACCTAAAATATTATATCCAGCAAGGTTATCATTCAGAATAGGAGACATAAAGAGTTTCCAGACAAGCAAAAAGTAAAGGAGTTCACAACCACTAACCTAGCTTTACAGGAAATGTTGAGGGGTCTTCTTTATGCAGAAAAGTCCATAACCAGATATAAGAAAATACAGGAAAGAAAAAAAAACACCCAAATCAATGATAAAGGCAAATCTATATATATAAAAAGCTAATATGCAAAGTATCCCCTTGGGAGTTCGACCGGGAGACCAGGAGTTCGATTGCTCGCTATAACGTGCGCTGACCACCAAGGGGTGACGCGGGACAAAGGAAGTCCCTGGTCGGCAGCTGGAAGGAAGGCCCCGGCCATCAGCCAGAAGGCTCCAGTTGGCCCTGATCACTGGCCAGGCCTAAGGCCTCTAGTATAAAATAATCATAGTTAATCAACCACTTAAAAAACTAATCGGAAGGTTTAAAGATAATAGTAAACATAAATGTAAGTATAATAATTAAGAGTTACACAAAACACAAAGATAGAAAACATGAGTTTTGAAACTCTGTTTCAAAAACAGAGTTCAGGGAAGCATAAAAAGGTAGTACTTTTAAAATTTAATTGAACTTAAGTGCCTATGAGCTGAAAGTAGACTGCTATGGATATGGGTGGATATGTATGGAACTCCTGGTAACCACAAACCTAAAACACACACAAAAAAGGAAGAGAAAGGAATTCAATCAAAACACTAAAGAAAATCACATCAAAAGGGAAAAAAATCAAGAAGATAGGAACACTGGAGAACAACAAAAGTAATGAACAAAATGGCAATAAGCACATACCTATTAATAATTACTCTAAGTGTAAATGAATTAACTGATCCAATCAAAAGACACAGAGTGACAGAATGAATTAAAAAACATGACTCAGTATGCTGCTTACAAGAGACTCACTTTAGATAAAAGACACACAGACTGCATGTGAAGGCATGGAAAAAGATATTCAATGAGTACACAGAAGTTTTAAATTTTGATAAAGTCCAATTTACTCATTGAATGGTATTGACACCCATGTCAAAAAAATCATTTGACTACCTATATGAGGTTTTATTTCTTGGCTCTCTGTTCTATTCTGTTGGTCTATATATCTGTCTTTAAACCAGTACTATTCTGTTTAATAAACTTTTTAGTAAGTTTTAAAATTAGGAAGTGTGAGACCTTCAATTCTTTTTTTTTTTTTTTCCAAGCTTGTTCTGGATATTCAGTCCCTTGAGAATCTGTGTGAATTTTATAATATATTTTTCTATTTTAACTAAAAACATTGGTTCCAGTTTAATACCACCATCTCATTAAAGTAAACCATCAGTTTGAGGAATGCTGATTGCTTTAAACTTACTGGATCTCAGTCTTTCCATATAGTAGTTCTCAGAGTCTTACAAGTCCTGTATTTTTCTGTAATTGAGGTTAAATAGAGCAAGAAAAGCCAGAAAGAAGAAATCTAAAAGGGAACCTAGTGTCACAGAAATTTGTTGAATGGATGTAAAGTATAACCTTTCTTATTTGCCACAAAATTAAGTTGAAACAGATCTAAGTCACTAACCTTCATATTTGAACTATATAACTAAAACCTTGAGATCACACAATGAGCTCTGTTTAATTATAACTCATTACCCTAATCACCCTTAGACCGAAAAACTTGACATCTGATTTATCTTTATATTAATGTGGCAAGTAAAGGTTCTCTGATTTTATTTATTTATTATTATAACACATCTCTAAAGATGACCTTTCTAGGCTACTATTGTGTCTTTTTCCTAGTTTTATGGTATCATCCAAATAAACATTTTGGATATATGTGTCTGTTATATTGATTTTTGTCTTCCAGAATCTCTACACAAGGAAGTACAGGATTTGGCCTTTCTAGATGTTGTATCCAAACTTCGCAGTCATGAGAACAAAAGTGTTGCCCAACAGGCCTCTCTCACAGAGCAGAGACTTACTGTGGAGAGCTGAGAACTGCCCCTCCCTGATACATGGCATCATCCCATCTCTGGTTTCCCCTTTGTCCTCCATCCAGGTGCCTCTTCTGCTTCATTCACTTCCATATCACTTGTGCATGCCTGTAATGTTTCAATACCAATTGAAGAACTCTGTAGGTACCTGCCTAATAAGATTTCTAAACCCATAGTTAGTGTGAACATGAATTTGTCAAAAACAAGTCTCCACCCATAACTGTTCTTTTGTATTCCTGTTGCTTGAGCTATATTAAGTAGAATGTGCATGTTGTAGTCCTATGATGATGTTAACTTGGTACTACATAATGACTTGCTCCTCACACTTGGTAAACTACATAATAATGTACTGGTAAATTAGCAAGAAACAAGAATGCAGCAGAATCTGTCTAGCTTATTAAAGATGATATTGAATAGTAAAAATAGCTCCATTTTTTGGTGCTTGGTAAGCACAGTGACCAAAAAACTGTATGGCTGTTCATTCATTAGTCTTACCTACTAATGTCAAACTCATGGTACCTAGAGTTAAATAAAATCCAATGCTCTCACTCTTTACACTATGGTTTCTCCTTCTTCCTAACTATGTAGACTCTTGAAACTGCCACAAACTTGGCAGAACTTCCTGGGGTTTTTAATTTCATGTTTAATTGGCTCTCATCAGTAACCTGATGTTGAAAACATTTGTAGTTTTCAGTATGAAACTACGGGGTTGAAGACTCCCTTTTACACTAGTACATCTTGGATTTTTGGCTGTATTTTAGATTCTTATATATATACAGATTCACCTTAGAACTTTTTCATCAACTAATCAGGGTTGTCCAACACTTATCTATAAAAGTCACTTTGGCATTTGTTTTCAACTAAGGAAACAAATATAGCTCATTGGAGACTGGATTTTTTTTCCCCTGTTTTTCATCATTTAGCTCAAAAGCAAGAGGTTTCCTCTCAGAGTCTTTTAAAATCATATTAGAACTAGCAGGACATAGGAAAACATTAAGAAATCTTTGTCTAGATTAAAGAAAGGAAGCAGGTTATAAAGCCATATAGCCAGTCCAGTTCATCCTGCAGATGGCCTCATACCAGTAGCTGTTAGAGTCCCCACCTCCACTTCCTACAGGGAACTGCAGATTTTAAAGGCTCTCTCAGAAAAGGTGACAGCGCCAGGACCCGGGAAAGGAGAAGACCTCCTTGGAGAACCATAATGTGCTCTTCACTGCCACTACCACCACCAAATGGATTTTGAGAGCTTTGAAACAGTCTTTGTAAGTTAATCAAAGCATCCCTGTGACATACCTGCCTTCTCCCTGTGCCCAAGTTTGACAAACAGTGCCTGAGAGGTAGAATAGGCTGCATTGTGGAAGGACTGCAGGACAGATGGGCAGCCAGGGTAGAGGCTCCTTCCCCCACATGAGATGGTGTACGTCTCTAGGCGATCAAAGTTGGACTTTGGACTCTGAAACAGCTATAATTCAAGAAAGTTAAAACCCCAGTGGAGGTAAAGAACCCTTTGACTAATTATTCCCTTGATACCCAAGAAAGGGACTGCTGTATGTACACTTACTGCAAGAAGGATCTTGTTTACTATCTTCTTCTGGACTGGATAGTGAACTATATTTTATGATAGTTTTGAAAGACATCTGTAATGTAAAGACTGTCCATATTAATAACTAAATAAATAAATTGTATATCAAACCATAATGGCGGCATCATTTGGTTTGTTTGTGTAATTTACTTCTATTTCCATCTCCTAGAACAGTGCTTTACTCAATTGTTGGTGCTCAATAAATATTTGTTGAATGAATTCCGATTTCCATGAAACTTCCATACTGCCCAAAAAAATTCTACATAGATTGCTAGAGAAACTGAGATTTAGATCATTGTCTGACTTCAGAGATTTTTTTTTTGAAGGCAGGATCCTTCCCCATTATACAGAAAACCTCAGAACAGAGGCATCCACAAGTCATAGATTTGAGAGACGCCATTCTGTCAACTGCCAGCAATCAGTTTGCTGATATGCTAGAAACTCCTCTCCAGCAAAACAACATGCAGTTCAAATCATCAGCTGTTCTACAAGAGACCAGAAGCCTGTGCCCTTATGGTACCAAGTTCACCACACGTGATGTGCTGCTATGCCATGACAGTGGGTAGGAGCCCACAGACAGTACTACCCTTACCTCTATCTTAATGGAGGCCACCTCTAGCTTGCTACCCACTATGAGTGCATTCTAAGGGAGAAAATGGGAGGTGCAGCACCACAAAGCTTGAATGATCACCTTGTGCCAGGACTAGAGCACAGATGAAGAGCAAAACCAGAAATGAGAGTTCCGGAAGAAGATGGGTGAGTGAAATGCACTAGAATGTGTTCCCACCCTCTCTCCCCGTGACATTAGCTCCTTGGAATCCTGTTAACCCTCACCCAAACAGCAACCCCATTGTACTCAAAGCAAAATTGACTAAATACTGGCCCACAATCCAGTGTTGCCCTTGCTAAAACACGTTTTGAGCATACTGATAGCAATGGCGATGTGGAACAAAACTCTTCAGTTCTAAAACGATTTCCTCTTGGATGGAATAGAATGCAGCTCTCGGATGTAAGCATTCGTATGAAGTGTTCTGAGAAACCCTGCATGTGAACATTTAAAAAAGAAATGCTCTTTGGTATCATTAGAAGGTTTATTATCTAATTCTGCTGAACATAAGGGGTGAAGATGTGTATTACCTTGGTGAGCATTACCCTTTATATCCAGCTGTTAATAGAATCAGTAAGCTTACAGGCACTTCTTAACTCTAGGAAGACATAACATTTGAATTATACAGGTGTCTATTAAAAAGCACCTAGTGATTTTAGGGATGAGTCTTCATAGCTGTAACCAGGAAAACTGAGGATTTTTTTTTTTTCAAAGATGAGAGCTCTTATTTTACATACATACATGCATAATTATATATTGTGAAGCTTCATAGATACATGTTTTATAGGGATACATGTTTTATAGGTGTGTCTAAGATGTACTAAACATTTTTAAAGTGTGATAAGTGCAAAGAGTAAGGTCTTTGGATACTGTCTGATGTGTATCACACCCTGGTTCTGTTCATCACCAAATTCCTTACTCTCTGGGCCTGTAAGGAATTAATATGATGAGTTTAATGTTCCCTACTTAATAAGATGCGTTTAATGATCCCATCATTATATGATGAGTATAATGATCCCTACTTCCCAGGGTTTTTGTGACTATTGAAACCTAGAGGTTGAAGGTAAAGTTGGATGGAACTGTGATACCTTATGGCCTAACCTACACTCCCCTGTCCCCCGTGCAGGATTCCCAGCTAAAGGAACTCAAAGAATAGCCAAATGGGAGACAGAGAGTCTATTAATAGTTTGAGGAACACCCTGTTGTCAACGCAGAATGTAACCCCTTGTTTCCTTCCCCCAGAGACTAAGGTGGCCAGGTCTACAGAAGCAGGCCTTGAATGTAGGTCCCAACTAGTACTTCCTTTTCCTGTCTCTTCATATGTCAAGTGGGAAGAACAGTAAGTAGCTCAGTAATCCTAAATTTTATTGTTACTAAGTCAGTATAAATGAGGCTATAATACTATGAGTTTTTTTTCTCAATATAGAAACAAAATCCCCCTTCCCATTTTCCTTGCTGCCCAATTATTTATCAGTATATATAAAATATACCTTTTTATATACATACCTGTTCATGTACCTGGTATATGTCTTTTTCTTAAATATAAATGGTACTAGAAGCCCAGTGCACAAAATTTGTGAC